GGGATATCAAAGGTATTTTTCTCTTCTGCTTTTCTTCTATTGTTTTATATATATACCGGTTTCCTTATTTTTCTTTGGCTGTTAAACCTTGAGTAGTGTACTCCATAGTTTTTTTTTTCCTCCATCTTACGACATGCTGAAGAATTCATCATTTCAAATCATTCTCAGAAAACTTCAATTGACGCACGCAAGTAATAGGCCAAAACAGCTGCTTTTAAATGAATTTGATTTCTTCTGTTTTAGAAAAATATTTCAAGTAGTATACTTTGCAAATGAAGTTCTGAGGTGAATCTTCTTTTGTTTCTTTGAACTGTGCAGGCGGGCATTAGTGGAGGTGGTAGTCTACCTATGTATGTTGACAAGTTTTTTGAGGTAACATACTCGCTGTTTATAGCTTTGTAGATCCCGGATTATATACTGTTATATACTTATATCAAGACTTTGCTACATTTGCAGGCAATCGGAATCATAGTGCAGAATGGGTATGGTCTTACTGAAGCTTCTCCTGTGGTCGCTGCTAGAAGACCGGCCTATAATGTTTGTAGCTCAATTTATATTCTCTCTTCATTAAGTTTACTTTTATTATCTCCCTTGCAGTAATTCCACACTTGATACATCTTAATTGTGTATTCTCTTGGGTTTGTTTTACTTTTGAAGGTATTAGGATCAGTTGGTCATCCTCTTAAGCATACAGAAATTAAAGTTGTAGATGCTGATACTAATGAAGTGCTATCTCCTGGTTCAAAAGGCATTGTCAAAGTTAGGGGGCCGCAGGTGATGAAAGGCTATTTCAAGGTATAAATTGTGTTACATACTATAACTATTAGTGAAGTTTGGTCTTCATATTTTTGATAAAAGTAATATGAAATCACATCTGTTTGACATTTTCTTATTTCCTCACAAAAGAGAAGTATGGTGTAAGTGGGGGAAGGACCTTAAATTTCGCAAACAAAATTTCAGGGGCTTCTTCTTAGGCAGGTCAAAAGTTCATCCATGATTGTAAGAGAGTGAAAGTGCTGATTTCTATGTTGTAGTTGTATGTACCTTCACCCTGAGTTGCATCAGCTGAATCACTAAGTCACTAGCATATTACAAAGTACATTCATGCTACATTTCTCAGATGTCAGGAGTTGTATTTATACTAAATTATTATTATTTTATTATAATTTCCAAGTCTCTGTCAAGTAGGAAACATAACAAGCTATTTGGTTTTAAAACTATGACCTATGTCTAGGCTTGGAAAGTTTTAGAATGTGTGTTTATGCTAAATTAACATGATACCTTCTTCTTGACAATGCTATATTCTTATGTAGGGCCTTTAAGAGTAATGAAAATCCGGCATGTTGCTTGATGTTTTCCCCTCGGAGACTCATTGCTACTGCTCCTATAAATTGATCACAGCACATAAGGGAATTTGGTTAATGTTCCTATGACATCTTTGCAGAATCCATCTACTACGAGGCAAGTTATGGATGATGATGGTTGGCTGACCACTGGGGATTTAGGCTGGATAGCACCTTCTCATTCAGCAGGGAGAAGTCGGCTTTGTGGAGGTGTTCTTGTTCTTGAAGGACGAGCTAAAGATACTATAGTTCTCTCGACAGGTGACTTAAGTCGATTTTCACTATCATGTAATATGCATTACTTTAAATTGTATGACCAGCATGATTCATTGGACAAAAATGCTATTATATGCCTGAAAGATGCTTTTACTCCAGTTTGAGCTGTCAACAGTGAAATGAGTGCAAGAACATTGTGATAAAAAGCTGTGTTTCCTGACCCATTTGCCACTTAATTATGATGCCCAGAACTCAACTTTTGTTTTGTTTGTAATTGATTTCTTTCTTAATGCAATTAGAAAGTTCCTTCTATCAGATTCTCTCCCTGTTAACTATGATTTTCATGTGCTCCCAATTCTATATGTAGTCGTAAACTTCTATCTGTATTTTGATGCTGATATTTATGTTGATTAGGTGAAAATGTTGAGCCTTCAGAGATTGAAGAAACTGCCATGAGAAGTAGTCTAATTGAACAAATTGTTGTCGTTGGCCAGGTTGGCCTTTCTCTACATTTGCTGAGGCCACTATCCCTTTTCTGCTGTTCTTTGTTGGTTTTGGTTTACTAAATGCTATAGCTGGTTTCCATTTTAGGATCAGCGACGCCTTGGAGCTATTATTGTTCCGAACAAAGAAGAGGTTTTACAGGCAGCAAAGAAATTGTCTCTTATTGATGCAGATGCTAGTGAACTAGGGAAAGAAAGGTTAACTAGCCTTTTACGGGAGGAGCTGAGGAAATGGTCAGTTTTGTATTCATAAATTTAACCTATGACTCTCTTTTCATTTTTGTTCTTAGCAATTTTCTTCCACGTCACAGGACTTCAAAATGCTCATTTCAAGTTGGTCCAATTCTAATTGTGGATGAGCCCTTCACGGTATGTGAATTTTAGCATCATAGAATTATAATATTGGTAATACGGTCACGTTCAATGCCTTTTTACTTTATTGTATTGCAGATCGAGAGCGGTCTACTGACCCCAACCTTAAAGATACGAAGAGATGTAGTTGCAGATAGATATAGAGATCAAATATCAAATTTATACAAGTGAACATACGAAAGAGACACGCTCATATAGGTTAGCTGTGATTCAGAGGTGGTTCAGAGGTGTAGCAATTGATCGTACAGCCATATTGTTCTCTTCTTTACAACATTCTTTGCCTATTCTGGGGCTGAAGCCTGAAAAGTTTGTTAATACAAGTAGAAAATAATTGTAAAGGTGTTAAACCAATGCATCTTGTAAATGACAAAGCTGGCACTTTTGCCCTCATGTAAATGTTAATGATGTATTACTTTGGCAATTAACCGTTAATATGTCAGTGGCTCGCTGTGGCAAATTATCGTTTAGTTTAGTTACCTGATGATCAAGATTTTAACGAGCTTTATTGTTTACAAACTTACAACTATTACAATGTTTATAAACTTCCTAGAATATAATTGGTGAGATTTGACCCTTAGACTCATGCCTAGAAGTCGGAGAACTAGCCAACTAGTCTAGCCTCCTATCTCATCAAGCAAGATTTCATTGGTAATATCAAATTCAAGCAAATCCAGAAATTTTTGGGCCACGGTGTGGGCAGGCATGCCCCAAAATCCGTCCTAGACCATGAGGTCTATAACAATGTTTAATAAGAAATACAGAGTATATAAATATAGATAAAAATAATAGTCAAAATTAAAATATTTCCTCCGTATTTTAATAAGTGTTACACTTACTAAATGCGGTTGTATTTTAATAAGTGTTACACTTTCATTTTTGACAAAAAACTACATTTAAATATACGGATATTTCACCAAAAACCACTGAGTTATTGCAAAATTCACCATATACCACACAAAATTTTCTAATTCACCATATAACACTGAGTTGATGTACATTAACACATAATGCCATTTTTTCTAGCTGCCATTAGTGTGCCGTTAGGGGTAAATTACTAATATGCCCTTACACATTCAACTGGCGCCATTGTTAGAGTTGACTCTCCCAAACACAACGTTTCCACTTCATAAATTTGACCCCCCATTTCTCTTTTCCATTGAAGCTACTCTCTGTTTGTCTCCATTGCTTTCAACCCTAAAAATCCATCAAAAAATTGCAAACTGTCGAAGGGTCTAAATTGGATTGCAACTATGAAAGCAAATTGGGACTTACGATTGAACAAAGAAGCAGTTTGACAAGGTTTCAGAGACAGCGTGGTGTTCGTGACTGAATTTCGCACAAAGTTCGCACCTTGGGTGGATTAAGCATACGCAAGGTATTACTATCCTTATCGATTTGCATTTCGAGTTCTGATTTTGTTGTTTTTTTGTGAAATTGAGTTAGGGTTAGGGTTTCGTGGAAAATGATCATTTGTGTCAATTTGGTTGCTATTAAATTCGAATGTGAATTATATGAAAGTTAAGTATGATGTGTTGTATACGAATTTGAATTATGTTAAAGTGAAGTTTGATGTGTTGTATGCGAATTATTGTTTGGATTGTGATGTAATAAGCTGTTGCTAAATGTTGTTGTTTATCATCCATTGTTAGGATGAGTGAATTGTGGTTGTTAGTTAGATCTCCAAGTGGTTCTTTTGATGTGAGGGTGGATGATACTGGTAAGACGAATTTGATGGAGTTGTTTGAATATATGTTTGAGGATTCAGTGAAGCAAAATGTTTTCCTCCCTAAATACTTCACCATTTTTGTGAGTAAACCTAGAATTAATCGTAAGTTAGAGTTAGTTGATGATGGGGCAATGTTGAAAATGTGGGAGTGGAATGAAGGGAAGAGTGAAATAGAAGTGTTCATTAAAGAGACAGAAACACCATCTCTTGTGTTTCAGTCTGTAGAAGCTAGTTGGGCAAAAACTTTGAAGAACAGGGCTGAAAAAATTAGGCTAATGGAGGAAGAGAGTAGGAGAAAAGCAGAGGAAGCAGAAGCTGAGGAGGAGCTTTTGGCCCAGCAGCCATTTACTGTGGCTGTAGAGGTCCCTGTTGTGGATGCAGATGATGATGGGATTGACTATGTAAGGGTGTTTGCTACCCCAGTAGCTGATGAGGTATTTCCAGGGGATTCACCACCTCAAACCTCCCAAACAAAACATCCCACACCTTCACCGCCAAAGGAACCCACTAGAAGAAAAAAACTAACTCCAAAGAAGAAACCCCCCCCCCCCAAACAGTCCTCTCAACCAAGACAGCCCACACCTCCACCACCAAATGTTTCCCAACAGCATCCTTCCCACCACAAACACCAACACACCAACCCAGGCAGCCTACACCACCTCCCCCACCACCACCACAACCAACATCAAGAGCACCAAGGCAACCAACTCAGACTAAAGAACAAACCAGACTTAAACCCAAAGAGTGGAGGGTGCCTAAAAGCACAGCAATTAAGTATGGTCATGTGGTTGGGAAAAAAATGCAGCAGGGAGGCAAGTGAACACTAGGAGCAAAAAACCTATGCCTGTTGAGGATAGTGATGTTGAGTCTAATGCTTGGCCTTCTGATGATAGTGAAGATGATGATTATGAAGCTTCTGATGTTGAGGCTGATTTTGATATGGACTTGGACATTGAGGATGAGTACATTGTGAGAGAAGAAGATCTAGCTGATAATATCCCTGAGAAGACCTTTGAGGATTACTTAGATGGGTCCCATGTGTTAGACAAAATGTACAAAAATGGTAAAGTATGGTCTCACTTACCATTTAGGTCCGTTGAACTTGAACCATGGTTGATTTTTGAAACCAAAACATAGTTTCTTGAGGTTTTCAGAGATTACTGCATACAAGAAGGGTTCTCTGTTTCAGTGAACTATGCTGATAATCAAAGGTACATAGCAAGGTGTTTAATCAGGGATTGCAATTGGAGGATTCATGCAGCAGTTCTGAAAGATAAAGTCAGTTAGGCTATAAAGAAGCTAGAAGGGGAACATGCAACTTGTGGGAGGCTGGAAGAGAATCCTATGGTCTCTTCAGCATGGCTTTGCAGACACTTGTTACAAGACTTGGAGGCAAACCTAGAGATTCCAATTGATTCATTGCAGAGGGTGTGCATGGAAAGGTACAGGATCCATGTGAAGTTGAGGTTGTTATACAAAGTGAAGAGTTTAGGCACGGAGCAATTACATGGTGGTTTTGCTCAGTCCTATGCAGTTCTACCAAAGTATGCAAAGATGATAAAGGTCACAAATCTTGGGTCATATGCTCTTGTTACATGGACTACTAATGGGGATCAGAGTTTCAAATTCAAGGCCTGTTTCATATCTTTTGCAGCTCAAGTGAAAGGATTCTTAGGGGGTTGCAGACCTATCATAGGAATAGATGGTGCACATCTAAGTGGATATTACAAAGGGATTATGCTAACTACAGTTTCAATTGATGGGAATAATGAATTTTTTGTGTTAGCCTATGGGATTGTTGACACAGAGAGCATAGATTCCTGGACTTATTTCTTCATAAACTTAAGGTGCTTATTTGCCCACTATGGATCTGAGAAGGATGACTGGACTTTTATAAGTGACAGGATGAGGGTAAGTTTCTCCTTTTCTTATGTTTTTGTTGATAATGCTCATTTTCTAACTTTGTCCAGTTTTTTGAAGGGGGTTGAATCAGCTTTGTTTGAGGTGTTCCCAAGAGCAACCAGGAGAATATGCTGCTAGCATTTATACTCAAACTGCAAGACTGCAGGATGGAGTGGGACAACATTTCATAAGCTGTTTTGGATTGCTGCAAATGCATACAATGAGTATGTGTTTGGAAAAGCAATGTGCAAGATAAAAGAGTATGATGCAGCAGCATTTGATTATCTGACAAAGGTTGAAGAGCAATGGAGTGTGCACATGTTTGACAGAGCAGTTTGTTGTGATCATAACACAACAAACTTTGTTGAGTCATTCAATGTAATTACCAAGTCCAACAGAGATATGCCTGCGTTGACATTACTGGAAGGTAAATTGTTTTGCCTAATTTGTTGAATTCAATGCATACAATGTTGTGATATTAATTGTGCTATGTCTGTGTACTTGGTGTTGTATTTTTTTTTTTTAATTTTTTTTGGGAAATCAGCTCTCGGGAATTGGTGCATGAAAAAGATGGGTTCCAGGTTCGATAAAGCAATTGATATGGAACCTAATGAGCTGACAGAGTATGCTAAAGGGGTGTTGGAGACAAGGACTGATGAGTCTAGGTTTTGCCATGTGACAGCAGCTGGTGGTGGAAAATTTGAAGACAGGGATGGCCATGTTAAGTTCCCTATCACACTTGGGAATATGAGCTATGGGTGTGGGAAATGGCAAGGCTCAGGGATACCATGCAAGCATGGTCTTAAGGTCATTTACAACCAAAGACTTGAACCTAGGGATTTTGTGTCACCATACTTCAAGGGCGCTGCACATAAACTGACTTATGCAGACCACATCCACCCCATGGCTGATCCAACCCACTGGCCATCACTTGATGTGCCTGAAATTGCACCACCCCATGGCAAAAGAAGTGCAGGCAGACCAGCTAAGAAGAGAAGAAGAGCCCCTCATGAAGCAAAGAAAGGAAAGAGGCATAAGAACAACAAATGCAGTCTTTGCAAAGAAGTGGGACACAATGCCTTAACCTGTAAGGCAGCAGTAAAAAAAGGCAGAAAATGCAGCATCCACTTCACAGCAAGGCAACAGAAGGGGGAAGAAGAGAAAGGCTGGTAATTAACATCCTTGAAGATAGGCTTAATGTGTAATTTTTTGGTGAACACTTTTAAATCTTAAGTGTTATGTGTCAGGTTGTATTTGAACACAATGTTGTATTTGAACACAATGTTAACTACTTGGTTATTTTGGCACTTCTTTTGTTTCTCACAATTTCAAGCTATGTAATACAAGTACTGAACAATTATGTAGGCATAATTTTTGACAAACGAAGTTAGCAATCCAAGTGCACCTTATTTAAGCAATGAATTTTTTTTTTTTTTTACATTATTCATTTCAAGGCTACAAATACAATAACCATAAACATAATTACAACTATTTTTATTGCTGCATTTACTATCTTTTGCTGTTTTGCTACTCTTTTCTTGAGCTCCTTCAACTCTTGCTTCAACACGATCTCACTTCCATGCGTGTCTATCCCTCCCCTGCTTTGATTTTCATTACCCCACGGGACATTTTGATCCACATTACCCTTGCACCATCTAAATGTATCACATACATCACACTTATAGTACAACCTTTGCGGATTTTTTGCCGAATCAGAGCTTCTTATTGCAAACTTCCTACCACAACAACAGGCTTTGTTTGGCACCCTTACATACGAAGAACCGAAAGACGACGATGACGTTGAAGATCTCGAGTGTGTGGACATCTTTGCAAATGTTATTAGAGGTGTGACTTGGTACGTGAATCCCTCAAGTGCTACATTTATATACACATACTAGCCGTTATAACTATTCAATGGCTATTTTTTAAAAAAAATGGTATATCGTGCAAAAATAAGTAAAACAATGGTATATGGTGAATTAGTAATTTACCTCTAACGACAGTTAGAAAAAATGGCATTCTGTGCTATATGGTGAATTAGAAAATTTTGTGTGGTATATGGTGAATTTTGCAATAACTCAGTGATATTTGGTGAAAAATCCGTTAAATTTAATATCTCTCTCCTCTCATGGTCCCCACCCAAAACCACTACTATTTTTTTATTATTTATTTCCTCTTACATTCATTACTTTTCAATAAACTATTAACCCCACTATTTTTTTTTTACAATTTTTTAATACTTCAACTACCCACTTACCTTTTATTTTATTTAAGTCAATTATATTGCCTAAAACTATGTGCCGGTCAAACTATGACACTTATTAAAACACAGAGGGAGCATACAAATTTTTTTTTTTTTTTTTTTTTGAAGAAAATATAAAATATATAATAATGCAAAAGTTTGATGTTGTAATTAATCTGAAACAAAGATGAAACCGACTACTAGTAACATTTATAGAATTGTAGTATGTGGCCAATGTGGGTCAATGCCCAATTGGCATAGCCGCTATTACACAAAACGGGCCAATTATAACGGTTGTCACCTCCCAAAAATAAAAATATAAACGCTCCCTCAGATCCAATACTCTATTCTCTTTTCAAAAAAAGTCAATAAAATCCAAAAACATTTTTTAATTTCTATTTTTTCTCCAATGATTTCAAATCCTCCCTTCAACGGCTAGTTTTCACGTTTTCCCCCCTTTTCCCCTCTTTCTCTCTCCTCCAAACTCTCTCTTCACATCTTCTTCATCATCTTCTTCTTCTTTCTCTCTCCAGAAATCTGCAGAACTCAACAATGAAGCACTTCATGCTCCCCAAATCAATTTCTCCATTGTCGGAGCTTTCCACTCCTACAAACCCTAACCCTAATAATTCTAACCCTAATTCCCAGAAATCGAAATCTTCTGGGCATCATCGGAAGCAAAAATGCCCTCCTAGAGATAAGGAGAACTCTGATCCTTGCGATGTTATCGCCGGAAAACCCTCGCCGGCGGGGAAGTTGAAGAGCCCTCTTCCGCCGCGGCCGCCGCCTTCTGCTAACCCTCTTAAGCGGAAGCTTAGTAACGACGCCGTTTTCGATGTTGCTGGACCTTGTTCTTCGTCTTTAATTGACTCTGGCGTTAAGGTGAACTCTTTGATTGAATTTTTTGGGTTTTTAGTTTAGGGTTTTTGGATGACAATGTTGATTTTGTTTATTTGAGCTATTGTGTAACGATTGATGGGTAATCTTGAGTGTTTTCAATTTATTTTTTTGTTTTTCTTGGATTTTGTTTAGTTGTCGATTTGATATAATTGATGAAATGCAGTTTTTTGAAAATTTCTGATCAATTTCGAGCTTTGATTTAAATGTGAGCTATTTGTGTAGTTGTTGGGGGCAATATTTAAGGTAATAATTTATGAAGTGTAACTTTCCGTTCTTGATTCGTGAATCTAAAAGTCATTCTTTAATATTAATTTGCTGAATTTCTTAATTGTACTCTTAAATTGAGTCATACAAGATGTTTGTTTAAAGGATCATTTTCGCCAATTCGATTACTCAATTCAATTGATTAGTATGGGGTCAGCTAGCTTTTAGAAGAAATTGGTGCGAGACAAATGATTCAAGCTTACCTCATTTCCTTTTATAGAGTTTAAGTTTGTTTATTGGAAGTTCGGGTTGAGTTATTGTTGCTGGGTGTTGAATTGGTATTTTGTTTTTGTTTAAAATAAGGTGGTAGTGCGGATGCGGCCATTGAACAAGGACGAGAGAGATGGGGAAATGATAGTTAAGAAAGTCTCAAATGATTCTTTGACAATCAATGACCATACTTTCACTTTTGACTCTGTGGCTGATATGGAGGCAACCCAGGCAAGTTTGTGTTATATCGTCTTTCCCCTTTAATTTGAATATGTGTGAAGGAAAACTAATTTTTGTCGAATTTGTCTCTTTCAGCTCGACATTTTCCAGCTTGTGGGAGCTCCTCTCGTTGAGAACTGTATTGCTGGCTTCAACAGCTCTGTGTTTGCTTACGGACAGGTAATTTTAAAATTAAATCTCATTAATTACCATTTTATTGTGTATAATATAGCTCCCTATGTTCTAATCATATGGTGTTGATTTTGTCTGATTAGACGGGCAGTGGAAAAACCTATACTATGTGGGGACCTTCCAATGCTTTGCTGGAAGACAACCTAGCAAATGAGCAACAAGGATTAACACCTCGTGTGTTTGAACGGCTTTTTGCTCGGATAAATGAGGTCAATATCTATCTCTTATCCTTATATTATAAAGTTTGAGGAAATAATAATTAAAAAGTATCTGTACTCTTTGTTTTGTGGTGTTCCAGGAACAAATTAAGCATTCAGACAAACAGCTTACATATCAGTGTCGTTGTTCTTTTCTTGAGGTACTGGAATGAGTCTATTTTTTTTCTTCCATTTTTCTAATTAGGTAACTAAATGCAATTCATATTATTTCTGCATTGCAGATTTACAATGAACAAATTACTGATCTGCTGGATCCAAGCCAGAAGAATCTTCAGATTAGGGAAGATGTCAAATCGGGTGTTTATGTGGAAAATCTGGCAGAGGAGTATGTATCAACAGCCAAGGATGTGATACGGCTGTTGTTGAAGGTATGAATGGCTTCTGCTTTTTAAATAGTTTTCATTGTTGAAGTAACAGAAGATGTTTGCTGCAACATATTTCTGTTCTTTTTAGCATCAGTTATATTTCTAAAGTAGTCCATGTAACACACTAGCAGACTTTAATCTAATGACAAAACATGCAACTCTTCCATAATGCCTTAGAAAATTACTAAATGTATTCAAAGAATCAACACAAATTTCTAGCTTAGTTTTCTTATACGAAGTATGCGCTTTCTCATTCAACAGATCAACCTTTCAGCTTCTTACTTGTCAATGATCAATTTGTTATATAGTCTGTAGTATGTTTAGCTTCTGTTATCTGGAGAGTGTGCATTCTCTCTGCTGGCAATTAATCAGAACTTGGAATAATATTTGAACTAGTCTGCTTAAATGTTGCTATAGACATTACTCGAATAAAATTTCTCCTATGATTATCCAACACTGAATTTGTGCGGAAAAGCTGTTTTCTAAGTGTTCTGTCTCAAATGTGCATTTGATTCCAGCGCTGGATAATACCTTTTATATTTGGTTCTTATTATCTTGTCTAAGAGTTCTATTTAAAATATAGAATCAAAAGATGTACAGTTTAAATACATATTCTATTTGCAATTGATTTGCTGCCATTGGACCTTCCAAAACCTTTTCTATGTGTTTCGATTTCTGTTGGACCTTCCACATTATACATTATCTGATAATGAACTCAAAATGTTTTGATTGTGTTCATCATAGTTTGCAACTAGGTTGAAGTTATTTGCAAGTTTCAGTGTCTCATGTATAAAACCATTTATCTCAAATGTGCAGGGACTGTCACACCGCAGAACAGGTGCAACAAGTATAAATGCAGAAAGTTCACGTTCACATAGTGTTTTCACTTGTTCCATTGAATCACAATGCAAGGTAATTTTACCAATTATAAGGGGGAGGAGGGGAGTTCATAGTCTTTACCGCTAGTCTAGAGGGGGGGGGGGGTTGATCTGGTATCTGTGTATCTGATATATTGGACATGTTATTTGAAATGCTGTGCTTGGTTAACAAGATAAATGAAATGATATAGGTCAACCATTCTTGAAAAGGCCACAGGAAGACCAGTCTCGCATTCTTCTTACCTCCTATAGGGTCAATGCTGTGCTTTCTCCCACTCCACATAAGAGGAATATGGACCTTTTAGACCATTTAATAGGAAATGGAGGTCCTGAAAGGCTTAAGGGTAGCTAATAATTCACTATCTCGTACGAGGTTTTGGCAGCTAGCACTATACAAAAGTAAAATATAAACAAGGTATTTACCCCTATTGAAGTGTTAATTAGCTGGGCTTTCTCAGCTGCGTATCCTTTAAGTTTCGGGGGAAAGCCGAGGATATTATCGATTTAATGAAAAAGTGGTGGTGTTTTTATTATGTAGCACAGGGCTATTTGCAGTCTCTTACTTGGACATACTGATATTGATTTAAAGTTTTTTTTTTTTATATTGTAGAGCATGTCTGATGGCCTGAGCAGTTTGAAGACTAGTAAAATAAATTTAGTTGATCTTGCTGGGTCAGAAAGGCAA